GGCCTTTTAAAAAGGAGTAGGCTCTTCTCTTGAAGGTCCCTGAGTCGTATCGGTCCATAAAATTGCTGATGGTAATCGATTCCACAAGGAAGTTGTGCGAGGAAAAAAAAAATCTTCTAAAACGCACAGTGGTGGACCACCGATCATCCAGATGGTGTGGATGGTATTGGGAGTTCTGCCGCGATGTGCGTTCGTGAAATTTGGCGGCTGGGATTAATCCGAACAATTCCTCAGAGCACTCCCCATGGTAAATGCGAAAGAAAATACAAAGGGATGCTACATATCTTTGCAGTGCCAGTGAATTGAGGTGATCGGAAAGGATATGCTTCCAGACACAGAAATTCCCTCATTCTCATATTTTATCAGACTGAGAAATCAAAGGAGGGAATACTGTGCACATGTGCTTGCTACACACACATGTAATATAATCCTGTCCTGCAGTAATGAATAGTCTCTGTTGTGACTGATATTGTCTTTAGGACATTATTATCATTATTTTATATGTGGTAGAGCCGGGCTGCAGCTATATTATGGTTGTATCACGGATGGGTCGGCTTAGCTGGGGTGGTACTACACTTTAACAGAATGTGTAGTACCACCCACCACCCTGTGTTTTGTTTCAATATCCTCCTACCACAAGCATTATCAGTTTACTTAGAGTGATAAGAGAAGTATTTGTAATGTTCTTAGTGATGATAGCAGTTTGAAGTTAAGGTAGGTAATGTATTTGGTAGATGTAGGTGGCTTGGAACTGTAGTAGTTTATTTCTGCCTAGATATCATCCTCTTACCTATTTCTGGTACCAAGCAGCAGTATGTATCCTTGGCTGAAGGACATCGAGAGTCAGGTTGTGATGCATTACATCTTAGTCCTCAGAGGTAACATTGCATCTGTAGCCATTGCTTGAAGTTCGTTGCAGGTGCCCATGGTGCCCATTAGTCACTTACCATCACGTAGATGGAAAGTTTATTTGTCACTTTAATACGAGTATTATAAAAAATTATGTTGACAAAGTGAAATGTGGCAGCCAATAGATTTTATTACAAGCTTATAAATTTAAGTAGTATTCCATATTTATGAAGATTTTCGTATTTTCAGTTGGATGAGAATGAGGGATCAATAATAATCTGTTTCACCTGTCATGCAAGACTCATTAGTTGCAGAAGATTACAACAACAGGCTATTGAGTCAAATGTGGTTCTGGAGCAGTTGCTTTCAGGAGGATCCATGGTATTATCCATTCCATCCATTTAAACCTATAATAGTCCACTGCTGAACATAGGTCTCACTCATATATTGCTTCATAGGAGGGATTTTGCCAAATTTTCCACATTTGGAAAGTTGGCAACCATAGTTTATATTAGTCGGAGTCATTATTTACATGGTAGAGCCATGCTGCAGCTATATTAACAGTATAGTTGTAGCACAAATGTGTAGGTTCGACCGGGGAAGGACCACGCTCTCACAGAAAACCAATGTAAAATAGCAGCTTAATGCTGCTGTGTTTCGTATGGTGAGTGTAGAGAACTGGAGACCCATTTTACTGGAAAAGAGGCATTCTATCTTAGTCCTCACGTCTGACTACGCATCTGCATTTTAATTCTCAAATGAAGATAAATGTAGATGTCTATGGGCCACAGTAACCACTTACCATCAGGTGGACTGTGTGCTAGTTTGTCACCCTTATTCTATATATTAATCATTATCAGAAAGATGCTGCCGCCCAACTCCTGTTTCTGTTTCCCTCTGTTGCCTCTTATGACACCCATCCTGTGGATAGGTATATAGGATAGTGGATATTCTTACACTGTCACTGCATGATCCACTTTTCTATGCTGCTTCCCATTGCCATATGGGAGAATGTTTCTAGTGCAAAGTTAAGTTTGTCCTTCAATCCAACTTACTTTTGTTAGAGCAATAGTACTTATTTTTACAAAAACAATTATCAAACTGTTTATACTGTTATATATTACCCTATTGTATATAAACAAATCTCAATAAACAAAGATAAATCTTTGTCAATTTACAGCTTTCGTGAATCTGAATCTAAAAGTTGTTGATACTCGATTCTCGGGATAGATGAACTATGTACATTCTTATTTAAGTTTACGCTGAACCCTCACTTTTGTCCGGTGTTTATTATTATTTGCAGTTGTTGTCAGGAAGATGCTGCCCCCCGATCTCCTGTTTCAGTTTCCCTCTGCCCCTTTTTACGACATCTGCGGGATGGCAGGGGGTAGTATGGGTTCTCCTACTCCACCACTATAGTGGCTTTTTCTCTTATTTGAAAAAATTATTTCCTTTCAGTCAATACCAAAACCGCATAAGGTTAGAGGTGAGATTAAATTCACACCATTTATCATATAGATATCTGGCCTGTAGAGTGTGATAGAGAAAATGATTGTAAGGACGAAATTTTTTGCCTTGATGCCGTTAAAGTTGAGGAAGAGATTTTCGAATATGAGAATTCCAAATTGGAAGAAAATGAGAATCATGAAACAGGTAAGATATACCCCTTTTTTATATTATTAAAATAAGGTACAATTTACCTTATGGCAAGTGGTTACTGTAGCCCGTAGATACAAAATAAAGAGGGCTTCATTTGTAATGTATTGATATACTGATTTGCCTTTGTCTAAATTCTAAGTGCATGTCAAAAGCGCTCTTATTAATACATTAAAAAAATATTTTTACCCTGTCAGCTAGTATGTATGTCACTAAGATACATACTGGTAAGCAACCAATTATCTTTGCCATGTTCTTAGTGTCAGTACTAGGTGGTGTGACTCCATGTTTGCCTAGGAGTCGATCTATTTGTGCTTGCCCAGATGGACTCCTCCCTCCTCCTCTTACCTATTTCTGCTGTCAAATAGCAGTGCGTGCACTGCTGTGTTCCATTCTGATGGGTATAGAGTCAGTATAATCACAGGCTGTGGGTCATTCCGTCTTAGTCACCAGAGATGAGCGCATTGCATCATTAAATCTTCACCATTACAGCCTTCACAAGTCCACTGCTGAACATAGGTCTCAGTGGAGGACCGCCCTATACTTCGTCTACCGGTACGAGGCTGCCACTCGTGAAACTTCCTTATTCATTGCTTCAAGCTACATGGCCGGGATTTCAAATTTCCAACAATTGATTCAGCATTTGAAACAATGATGTTTAATGTAACTACAACGGAAGTGAGACGACGGGTCCGTGCTTGTGTTAGGAATCGAGGCAATTATTTTGTGCATTAATAAATAAATAATTTGAATTTTTATTAATCTGCCTACAAATTTAAATTTTCTACCTCAATCTGGTTTTGGGGGACCTAAATTTGAAAATTTGTAACAAATCCGCGAAGTGATACCTTAAATGAAAGAGTAATAACCAAGTATGTTTTCAAAAAGGTTTGAACAAAAAAGTATCATCCTTTTTTTTTAATGTAGCGTCATAAACTTGTTTCACTAAATCGTAGAAAATTTTCGTGAACTTAGTGTCTACAAAAATGTCTGATGACACAGATGCTGAGACCATGTTTTCTTAGATTGCTTACACATTATTTAAATTTAAAAAAAGCAGACATTTATAAAATTGGCAATTATTAACAATGAATTGTAAAATTTTTGGTTTTATCACCAATAACAAAAAAGTATAGTCAGACTTTGTCTAACATAACTATGGCCTAAATGATCATTTTCAATCATCAAGTCTATCTTCCAATTATCCTGTATAATGCTTGTTCCGTGTGTGATTTGAAGCAGCAATTATTAGATTAATGTAATTGTAACATGGTCAGAAGAACGTCATCATTATCATTCGAATATAGTTTCTCTACCATTCATTCCCTCCAAAAATGTATATGAGATACATTACTCAAAGTAATTGGCTAAAATACTTTTTTTTATAGGATAAGGGTGACAAACGAGCACACAGTCCACCTGATGGTAAGGGGCTGCTGCGGCCCATAGACATCTACATCTATCTTCTATTACAAATCAAAATGTAGATGCGCTGTCACCCGTGAGGACTAAGATGAAATGCCTCATTTCCAGTAAAAAGGGCCTCCGGCCACCTGCACTCACCAAGCGAAACGCAGACGTAAACCTCTACTTCACGCTGGTTTTCTGTGAGGTCGTGGTACCACCCCGGTTCGAGCCGGCCCATCCGTGCGACAGCAAAAGCTGCCGCGTGGCTCTACCACTTTATATGTATGAAACATTACAAAAGTATAATCATGTAAAATATTGTAATTTCTCTATTTCTCCCTGGGTTAACCAATAGAGAATGCCATAAGGCATAAACTCCACCCAGTGTTCACAGTTTGTGGTGTCTTACAATAAATAAAATGTTTAATTCTTATGTATTTCAGAAGCATACATCACACCGAGAAATAATTTTTCAAAACTGTCTGAGAGGAAGATTAAATCAAAATCTACTGATTGTAACATAAACGATGTTCGTAAAGGAAACCTCGATTTAGAAAGCCCTACTATTAAATCAAAGCCTAAAGTGAAAAAACATAATCAACCAATTAATAGAAAATTAAAGCGTCCTGCAAAGATTATGAAAAAGAAAATTTTGAAAGGAAAGAGTGTAAATATACTTACGAAAAACACGTCAGGGGCATCAACAAAATACATTTTTGAATGTGATGGTTGTAGCAAAAAATTTTCAACAAAAGACATTCTCGCCAAACACATTTCATACAGTCATAAGACGCAAGAGAACTCAGTCACCACTGCAGTTCGGACACAAGTTGAACAAACTCCAGTACCACAACTAACGGAAATATTTAATTGTGATATTTGCGAATTTAAAACATCTCAAAAACGTCACATTATGGCACATCTTTACGCGCACGTTGCTGAACAAGTGTACTGTTGTAATAATTGTGATTATAAATGTATTAGAAAAGATCATTTGCAGACATATGAAAAAACATACTGGAAAAAAAACTTTTTCATGTAATATCTGTGAATATAAATGTATAGAAAAAAGTTATTTGCAAAAGCATATGGGAATACATACTGGAGAAAAACCTTTTTCATGTAATATCTGTGAATATCAATGTATTAGAAAAGATGTGTTGCAAAGACATATCAAAATACATACTGCAGAAAAACCTTTTTCATGTAATATCTGTGAATATAAATGTATAGAAAAAAGGTATTTGCAAAAGCATATGAAAATACATACTGGAGAAAAACCTTTTTCATGTAATATCTGTGAATATAAATGTATTACAAATAGTGATTTGCAAAGGCATATGAAAATACATACTGGAGAAAAACCTTTTTCATGTAATATCTGTGAATATAAATGTATTACAAAAAGTGATTTACAAAAGCATATGAAAGTACATACTGGAGAAAAACCTTTTTCATGTAATATCTGTGAATATAAATGTATCACAAAAAGTGATTTGCAAAAACATATGAAAATACATACTGGAGAAAAACCTTTTTCATGTAATATCTGTAAATATCAATGTATTCGAAAAAGTCATTTGCAAAGGCATATGAAAATACATACTGGAGAAAAACCTTTTTCGTGTCATATCTGTAAATATCAATGTATTCGAAAAAGTGATTTGCAATCACATATGAAAATACATACTGGAGAAAAACCTTTTTCATGTAATATCTGTGAATATAAATGTATTAGAAAAATTGATTTGCAAAGGCATATGAAAATACATACTGGAGAAAAACCTTTTTCATGTAATATCTGTGAATATAAATGTATTAGAAAAATTGATTTGCAAAGGCATATGAAAATACATACTGGAGAAAAACCTTTTTCATGTAATATCTGTGAATATAAATGTATTCGAAAAACTCATTTGCAAAGGCATATGAAAATACATACTGGAGAAAAACCTTTTTCGTGTCATATCTGTAAATATAAATGTATTCGAAAAAGTCATTTGCAAAGGCATATGAAAACACACTAGAGCAGAACCTTTTTTGTGAGAGATCTGGTAAAATATGTGCAATATTATGTAAACGTGTTTTATATAAATATAAAAGTATACTAGATAAAAATCCATTTGTCATGAGTTCCTTATGTAACTGTAGAACGAGTAGAAAAACCTTTCCGTGTCATATGTGCTAATTGAAACTGCATTTATTCTGAAGAAGCTAATTCAAAAACCAAAGAAACAACCAAGTGAAATCGAACCTTGAAATATGTACCGAGTGGTTAGTGGAAACAGACCAGACTTCATGTTTTTTTTTTAATTTTATTTAAGTCATACTAGTTTATTTTTATTTATTCGTTTCGACATTTATCGTTACCGTTACAGCCTATAAATGTCCGCTGCTGAACATAGGCCTCCCCCACGGATTGACTCATAGGGGGGATATTTGCCATAGTTGCCATGCATGTTGGGTTGGCAACTGCGGTTTTTCATTTTTATTTGTTATTAGGAAGACGCTGCTGCCCATCTCCTGGTTTATTTCCTCCGTCGCCTAGATATAATATATAGATATAAGAATATCCACTACCCCGTATCATCCCGTTTGTGTCTTAGAGGCAACAGAAAGAAACAAATCAGAAGACGTGCAGCAGCGTATTCCTAAGAAAATAAAAAATAAAACTGAAATTTGCCCCTATGAGGCAATCTATGGATGAGGCCTATGTTCAGCATCAGCAGTTGACTTTAATAGGCTCTCTAACAAGAACACAATAAATGTCGAAACGAAAAAAGGAAAAACATTAGCAATCAATTAAATAAAAAAAAAACATGGTCTGTTCTGTTTCCACTAACCTCCCATTTGTTTAATATTTGAAAGTTTTTTTTTTTTGGTTTTTGAATCAGCTTCTTCAGAATAAATGCAGTTTCAATTAGCACATAAGGCACGTAAAGGTTTTTTTACTCGGTCTATTATTCCGTACAAGATGGCTTTTGTAGTCGAGTTATTAATTCATTTCATATTTACACTGTAAAATGTCCAGACTGAATTCGGAGTGAAACTGAAACATTAAACTTCTGCCGTGGCAGCTAACTATAAATTAAAGTGAAAGACATTTACATCACTACTTTTGGTTTTTTTTAATCTTAGGTTTACTTTGATCTTATAGATTATCTTACGCTAATGAAGGAAATGATTTTGTTATTTATGTTAACGCGCGGACATTGTTTTTATTAGTTTTACCTTGACTTGTACTAAAAGACTACAGTTTAAGTACTGTAAGGCAGTTTTCTTACAGAGACTTTGTTTAGTTAGGTGTTGTTGTAAAGTGAAATGTATCTTCACGATTGTTTGAACTTTTTGTTAAATTCTATATAAGTCAAAGACTTGTGTACTACTCGAGCGGCAATTCAGAATAAAAACCGTGTGACAGCTGTGGATCGCGGGTAGCCGGCACGGAAAATATGCCACGCGGTTATATTTTCATTTACGACAGTTACTTCTTTTAGGCAAATACGTTACACACTTATATGAAATAAACTTCAAATCACGTTGACAAACTGCGCACATAAATAATGACAGCGTATTCTTAGTCACATTAAACAAAATCAGTGTTAGATTGTCGAAAACAACGATCGCAGTTTACAAAACAAAGAACTCTACTACTAGCCTACGTCACTACTGGCATCGCTCTATATCTGTTTGTGAAGTTTCATTTCAGTGCTTGAAGCTATTCCAACATGAAGCAAATACAAAGAGGAGACGTTCTAATTAAATTTCACTATGTAACAACGCGTGACAATTTGCGGTGTGAGGGGATGCAAAGCCCCGCCTGCTTTACACTATCTACTACCGATAAATAGTAAAACTACTCGAATCGTTCCATATCGATGTTGCAATGTAGTTTAGCTATCTTGACGGTGGATAGCGACCTGTTCACAAAATGATTATAAACTATAAAAATAATATTTTAAGATTTAAATTTCTTTATGTCTGTATGTAAAACAAATTTCAGCGCCTTCGTATGATTATTTTACCAATACTGAGCACTACGTACCTTTATATTTTTAGTTCACATGACACAAAGTGTCGCCATCTAGTGTCGAATATATTTAATTATATTTGAAAGCCGACGCAAAGAGATTTTTCTAGAACTATTTCAATAAATTAGGTGTAAAATTACTTACAAATGAAATGTGATGCCATCCATAACATCAGAGCGTCTATCTGAGTAGTTTTTACAGGATAAAACACAACACTTCATCCTTTTGTTCTTAATACTACGAAAATACACCGGTTTGCGATTTTCAACACTTAAGCGCACAGGACGAGTGCTGACAGTATACTAACTAAAGCCACGCTCACTGGGATGACGTCAGGACCTACTTACAATCACAGTTCACAGTTGCTTGTGCCGTCTCCTGTTTGTATTTGCTTCATGTATTCCAATGACTAGCCCGGACAGACAGACTTGCAAACAAATATTTCAAAAATGTTTATCCATGTCTTAATGGTATGCAAATAACTCGCTCGGTAGCGAAGCTTCCATACAAGCCAAAAAGCCCGGCTTGCCCTATTAATAATATCAACTAATAAAATAACTCGTAAACTGTTTCAAAGCGCTGCTCTGTTCTACACAGGTCGTGACCTCGTAGCCTTATTATGTAACGTCAACACTTGGCAGATTGCTTTACTGCGCGATACTGCTGTCATAAAAAAGGAGTTGAGTTGAGCGATTAGTCGTCTCTCTCGCACGCGTGGGCTTTTTAGCGGGCTTTCTAGAAGACGATCGCTCCCTTTCTAACCTGTGGCAAAATGTTCTATAATGAAACATAACTACAATTGTTTATATAGCAATCAGTATGGAGATCAGAAGCCAGGCTTTCAGTGTGAAGTTGTCGAGCGTTTGCAAAGTTCACTTCACAACTTCACATTGCAATGTTTACTCTGTGTGTTTACTTGAGCGAATGAAACTCGCAATATTGAGTTGGAAATTTATACTTTTTTATAGATTTATAGTGAAAATGGAGGATAATAGTTTTTCTTGTGATGAATTGGAGTGTGTAGACAAAGCGCTAATCGGCGAGGAAAAGGTAAAATCGAAAAAGAGCAAACGTAATTTTTTATAAAACTGTTAAAGACATACCTTGGGCTTGCCCTAGTTTGGAGCCCTAGCTTTGCCACTGAACTCGCTGGGTTTAAATAAAGCAGTAACTCGATATTACAGACAGACACTTCAATTTTATTTATATGTAAAGATGTAGATGTTAATCCCTCCAACGTATTTTCCTGACCGTGTAGTGGCGGTGTAAGAATATCCACTACCCCTTATCTTCCCGTGGGTGTGGTAAGAACCAACAGAGGGAAACTGACACAGGAGATGGGCAGCAGCATCCCTCTGATAACGGCAAAACTATAATAAACAACTACGGTTGCTCACCCGCTTGCCAAACGTGTCCACTATGGTCCCATCCAACCATCCCCCATGAACAGTAATACAAGGAGACGGCCCCCAATCTCCGGCCCGCTATTCCTGGTTACGGTGGCAACCATGGCAACGGCGGGGCAGGGGGTGTTAAGGATCTCCGGTGGAGGTTTGGTTGCCAACTAAGACGACTCCACCTGGCAACATATAATAACGCACGTACTCTGAAGACTGATGAGGAGATCCTGGAGCTGGAAGAAGATATAGACAAGTTGCGCTGGAATATTATAGGATTATCTGAGGTTCGAGAGGGGAAGGATACATAATTCTCGAAATCGGCAACATTTTGTGACCATCTGTCCCAAAGAGGTGTCCCCAAGTCTCTTAAACGACTTTGTAAAGATTAGGAGGGTTTCGACATGGTTGTGTTGTGTACCTTACACTCAGAATAAAAAAAACTGTATTTGTTGAAGGTCATACAGGTTTACGCACCAACCTCGGCACATCCTAAGGAGATGGAGAAGATGTAGATATGAGGATATCTCTAGCGCATTCCTCCGAAACTCAGAGATACTAATATATCCCGCAGACACTTCTTCTTTTAACACTATCAGATATACGGTCTAAGGGAGACTAACGCAAAACAAGACACAAAAGATATCGGTGAGCTGAAGGTAGGGAAATTCAGAATAGGGCAACGGAACCCAAGGGGTCGTCGGTTAACCAACTTCATGTGGAAAGAGGAGAGTTCCTCCATGATGAACTTTTTTTATAATATTATTTTTTATTATAACATGTACCTACTTATTTATTTGGGTGATAAATGTTATTTTAAAATAATAATCATATTTTTCAGCTTGACGATTCATCCATGATAGATATTCATGGTCCTACTAACCTATCTTTACCGTCAGAAGAAGTTGCTACGGAAATTGAAATAGAAAGTACTATGGTAACTTTATTCTTGATCAGTCTATTTTATGGAAATTGATTCCTGTAGATGATGTGTGTGTAGCCGTTTATATACATACTTAAACATTTTTATCTTTAAAGCAGTATAGATATTTTTATATGTATTTATTATTTACGGTAAGTATTTACTACTTACCGTAAATAATAAAAAAATATCTATATACATATAATACAAATATTTATACTATACTAATATTATAGAGCTGAAGAGTTTGTTTGTTTGAACGCGTCTATCTCTGAAACTACTTACCCCAATTCAATCAATAACTCTTTCACTAATAGGCAATAAAAATACCTATGGCAGCGCCGGATGTTGAGATAACTCCACGTATAAAGAATTTAATAAAGAAATTGAAAAAGAAGAAGAAATTCGTTATTTTAACTTTTATTCAATACATATATCAAAGGACTGATTAGGTTAGCCCTTAGTCCTAAGTACAATTTTAATATTTATACCTACTTTTGACATTCAAGGATTCAATTAAGGTGGAAGCTCCAGGATGGCCCGCGAAATTCAAATTTTCTTGCGTTTTTTGGAATTTGCAGGTCAGGATTAGGTTGTATATTTAACAAAATATGATTCGCGACCGTAGCGATGATGTGTTTATAGAATTATTATCATTAAAATCACCAATACAACCC